ATGTTAATAAGTAGTGTATGTTAATTAAGTATGTTAATATGTTTTTTGAAATATGTATGTGAGTACATATGTATGTTATATATATGTGCTTACATATGTATGAATACATGTATGTACTTAACAATATGACAATATACTATAACCAGTTTTAAAACTAATTTTATATAAACGCCATGTAAAAAAATATATTTATATTTTTTTGTGCTTTTTAGTATTTCCTTATTAATAACCTTTTGACGTCATTCGTTTTTTAATAGGCTATGTTGTTCAGAAGATATTAATATTTAAAAAAAAATCAAAACATTTAACTTTAACCATTGATATCTTCTTTATAATTTACTTCTATGGGGCCACATTTTTGGTTTTTTTGTTGATATTGTGCTCGGAACGACCTCGGACTATTTCTGTTTAATTTCTGCAGAACGGGAACAAACTAATACCATGTTCTGACCGACATCGAAAACATGTGCTCGTTGCTAAAACTGGTTTTCGACCTAACCCTTGTGCTTTCGTCCATGTAAAATCTGTCAAACGAAAACCAGTTTTCGGTGAAAACTACTTGAAAAGTCACGTTCCACTCATTCCAATCGGTGTCTTCACTAGATTTTTTCGATTATTTATCGAAGTGGAAGTCATATTTTATTGTTGTTGTTTTATTGTTGTCTGGCCAAAGTAAAATAAGAATAAAAGTAAGATGTTGCTAATGAAAAGAAAATTCGGGAAATAGCATTTTGGTTTTGTTTTTGTGTAGTAAAACTGTAATCAGAGGATGTAAGAAATGTCTGTTCGGGCCGACAACGAAAACACTTTGAAAACGAGTTTTGGGGTTGTGGGCTGAAAGCTGTTCACACAGGTTGTTAGTGTTTTCGTTGACATTTCTTACATTCTTTGATTACAGTTTTGCTACCCAAAAACAAAATAAAAATCCTTTTCATTAATTTTCTTTTCATTAACAACCTTTTACTTTCATTCTTATTTTACTTTGGCCAGCCAATTAACAATAAATCCGAAATAGCGTATTAAAGGTGATAAAATATGAATTCCACTTCGATAAGTAATCTAGTGCAGACACCGATTGGAATGAGTGGAACGTGAGTTTTCAAGTAGTTTTCAGCGAAAACTGGTTTTCGTTTGACAGATTTTGCATGAACGAAAACACAAGTTTTAGGTCGAAAACCAGTTTTAGCAACAGAAACATGTTTTCGATGTCGGTCAGAACATGGTATAACTGTCGGTAAGTGGGTTGCAGGTTTGGATTATCAAAGAAACAAACCAAATCCGGTAAAAAAAGTTGCATTCGCATAAACTCCAAATAAAATTGATGTTTAAGGAGAGTGTAACGAAATTCTTTGTATGGTAAACTCCGAGTTTAAGAGTAGAGTTAAGCGTTAAACTCCAAAATCGCCCATAAACTCGAGTTAATGGCTCAATGAGTACGCTTTATAACTTTGCAAACACGAAAGCTTCCCATCGTTTAAATACATTTTATTTAAGGTATA